CATACATCTATACGTAAATAACATGTTTGTTCGCATAAGTTTGTATTCAATTGTTTTTGTTGCAAAATTCATATGAATTTTTTTTTTATATTTGTTTAAAATCGTTATTGCCCATCATTCTGTTTAATTAAAATGAAGCAAAAAAATATTGAAAAATTTTATGTACTTTACTTTTTTTATTTTATTTTACTGTTATATTAATTATTATTTTTATAATTATTATTATTTTTTGCATAATTATTAATTAATTATTATAAATATTAAATTATTTTATATTAAAAATTGAGTTTGTTCACATCCACTCCACGCTCTACGTAAAATTAAAAATTTTTACAATATTTAACAAAACTTGAATGTTGTTCTGACCAGTATTCTTCTTACAATCAATTGCAATTTTTGATTAAACTTACACTGACCATTTTAGTTTTAAAGCGAATTTATAAATTCATTTCAAAATATTTGTGATTGCAATTGATGTGGCATGCATTGTATGTTTAGGGCAGACAAGTGATTTACTTGAACAATAATTTGAGTAACACATCTTGATAATTGTGTAGTAACCAGGTCGAGTTTTAACCATCAAAAACTTAATGAAATTTTAGAAAGTTCTCCAGTTTTGTATTTGATCTCTTATGGCAAAATACCTAATGAAAGCATATACTCTCATTCACGATTTCACACTTTCCATGTTTCTCATTTAACATTTTATATTTTTAATTAAATACACAATTTTTCTATTTTGAATTTTAATATATTCATATCTTGGTTAAGGTATATACATATAGATATTCTGTATTCGTTAAAGTTAAAGTATGTTAACTATTGATTACTAAGGTTCTCTTTTGAAAACCAATTGTGGATTATGATTAAGAATTTTTTAGCTAAAAATTTGTAGCATTAAACTTACAGCATTTATACAACTTCGAAACCTTTCACAAAATATTTCTGAACTCTGATTTTTTAAATTTACTTTTTAAAACAATGAACCAGTGAGTTTCAGATATATCAGGGGTTGGAAACAGTATTTCACCATCGGCTAATATCATATCATTTTTTATCATATCTAATAATTTGAATTTTGGTTGTTAAAAAAATTAACTTGACAACATTTTTGTAGGTACATTAAACTTTAGGACTTTTTTTTAGAATTTTCGTAGGACTTTACGAATAGTCTACTTTCATAGAATTCTTTCATAGAATTTGAAATATATATAATTAAAGGGCATTTTCATAATCTTATGCAACACTTTAATAATGTGGTTGGTTATGTAATGTTCATATCAGATTTTTTAATTAAAATTTTAATTACTTCAAATTAATGAAATTTAAATTTGAAATAGCATAGAAACTTCTAATATAGTAATTCTTTGATTATTACATTATTTTATTGTAATTTTAAGATTAAAACATGAAAACCTAAGATTCAAGAATGAAAACAGCGCAATTCCAAAACTGATAAGACTGATATTAATTGTATAAGACTCATGTTTTTGTAATATTTGCATTTTAAGAATAATTTTCAAATTAAATTAAACACGCTTTGTTGTGTGTTATTTTTTAGACTAGTGAGCAAATAGCAAATTCAGATTTAAACAGTTAAATGGCAAATTCAGATGAGATAAGAGAGTTAAAATGCTAAAAACTTAAAAATGCTAATAACTAAAAACTTAAAAAAAATATGTAAAATTTTAAATTTTGCATATTTACTTTGAAAAACAACAGCTATTTATTAAGTTAAGCAATAATGAAAAATAAAGTATAAATTAGACACACAAAAATCCGAACTTTCCTTTAAAAGCTGAAATTCTGAAAAGCTGAATATTAGCAATTACACCGTAAGATTAATTGTTTTAGTAGTTTAAAAATCTTCAAAATATTCCTTTATAATCAAACTTCGTTAAGGGCTGAAAGAGACATGTAATTGCTACTTGATTGTAGAAACGTTGCGCGCACATCTAACAAACTAAACTATTGCATTAATTCAAATCGAATGCATTAAATAAAAATTGCAATTACTTTGCAAAAAATTACAAATTGTTTGATGGCTTAATTGCATACAACCATACAGTTAAACATAAGCTTATGGAATACAAATAAGAAACCAAACAGTTGCAAAACTAAAAATTGCATGTCTATCTGATCCCTAAAATACATGAATAAAAATTGATTTGAATAAAATTGAACAACTATGTTGTTTTAAAATTTCCATAGCCAAATTCTTTCTATTTTGCAGATTTCTAGTAAATTTACTAATTATTCGAATATTTAAAGTTTTATACGAAAATTTAATTTAAATTTAAAAAAAAATAAACAAAAAAATACCTGAAACATCCCTATTATACATAAGGCATACAAACCACTCATGTACAATAGATTTTGTATTATAAATTTTTTTTATTATACATGATATATTGTATATTATTATATAATGCAAAAAATAAAATGGATATTTTTCCTTTAATCCTGAATAATTAATTAAATGGACAAAATACATTAAAAATGTAGATACAAAAAAAAATTATAATATAATATACACAGTGGTCCAGAAAGTTATACAACAATATGTACCATTGGAACACTAAGCATTCGAACTTAAAGGAAAATCAAATTTTTTCCTTGTTTTATTATTTCAGTTTTTTCTAACTAGATAATTTCGTAAGAAATTTTTTAAAAACTTAAGCTTTTCTTTATAGAATTTTTCCCAGCTGCTTAAACTTTAAGTCCTCAAAAATTAAAAAATTTTTATGGTAGAGAAGATATCGCACAAAAACCACAAATATTGTGAGCCATAAATTCCATTAAAATCCTACCAGATGCTAATAAAACTAAAATTACATTCAATTTAATATTCCTTTATTAAAAATTTTACAAATTTCTCAAAACAAACACTAAATTCTTCTATGAAATTCACCTAAATTTACAAAAATTTATGTTTTTCTTCTTTCAAATCAATTTCTATTCAATCACACATTTTAAATTAATTGTTTTACTGGAATTCCTCTTTAGTTGCATCAACTCCATTTTTTTCAAAAAAAATTAATTTTCCTTTCAAAAAAAAATTTTTTTTTCTATTAAAATAAATTCAAAAATTAAATTAAAATTTAAAATTTAAGTGGTATGTCTTCAAAAATTCGCTCCAACTGGATAGTTTTTATAACTTTAGATGCCAAATGTTGCCTAGATTCCGAAAATTATTTTTTTAAATTTTTAAATTGCACCCAATTTGAGAAAAATGCATTTAAAAATTCCAAACCATATAGGTACCATTTCTTATAAAAACTGGCAAAAATTAAAAACCTATCAATTTTCTTTACCAAGAAAAGTTTCGAAAAAAAATTTTTGATTACTAGATTTTTTTTTTGTTTTTTCTAGTACAAAATTCTAGTTTTTCTTTTGAAAAATTTCAAATTTTTAAAATCATTTTTTGTTTTTCAAATTAAAAGTTTGTATAAAATTTCGTTTTAATTTTGCTACTATTTGTTACATTTCAATAGACACTTTAAAATAACGGCTCTTCAAAATGTCGACTGTTTTTTTCGAGTGACTCTTGTTATTAAAAATTAATGATAGGTGGTTATTACAACGCTTAAAATAAATAAAAATCAAAAATAGTAAAAGATAGGGCCTTTAAAATCTTGACATAGAAATGGTTTTTGTGCAACATCTTCTGTACCATAAAAATTTTTTTAATGTTCCAATACTTAAACTGAAGCTTAAGCAGCTGGGCAAAATACTATAAACACAATTTCATTTTAAAAAATTTCTTATGAAATTATCTAGCTAGCAAAAACTGAAAAAATCAAGGGGAAAATTTAATTTTCTTTAAAGTTCGAATGCTTGGTATTCCGAAGGTACAAAAAATATAGAATCAAGCAACATGTCTATTTTAGATCCTTTCTGGAAGTGTTTGTTTGAAATTCCTATCTTTTTCAGCACCGAAGTTATAATCAAAAAAACCTGGATAAGTAAAAATTTCGTGAAAATTTGTTAAAATCCTTGGAACTGGGAAGCCCTTGAGATTTGACACCCAGTCCGGAATAAAAGTTTTTCTCATTTTCGATCTTCTAACCAATTGTATATGTTGTTGTATAATTTTCAGAAGCACCCTGTATATGTGCGTATAAACACGAACATTGTGTGTTATTAAAAAACATTTTAATTTATAAAAAAAGGACATATTTATAAATATGTATGTATATATGTGCTTTTATTTTGTGGTCACCACATACAAAATAACCATTCGATTACAAAATTTCAATTTTGGTTTTAATTTTTTTTTCTCTCGCTTTTTGTTTATTTTGCATTTTCTGTTTGTTTCTGGGAGCTTAAAATTATTAATCCTACATTATTAATATTATAATTAAAATTATTAGTATAAAGATTATTATAAATATCTGAATTTAAAATGTATTTTTTGATATCATCTATGTTAAACGTTTTATTAAAAATTAAATAAAATACATTGATGGGATTGCATATAACTAGGCGTCGAAAAAAATTGAATATTTTTACTAACTTCGAAAGCTAATTTTAAGTATTTCAAAAACTATCTGGGGTAACTACATGAAATTTGATACAAAACTGCCGAATTATAGTTTTCACGTAAAAAATGTTGTTCAACTCAATTTTTTTTAATTTCAAAACCAAAATTTCATATGGTAGGTTAACGTATATTCCAGTCAAATAGGATCGATGAGAAACGTTTTTACCTGTTTTATTTTTGTTGTTTATCAAAATGCTCTATTATTTTTGATAATATAGTATTTCCAATTGATTGCATGAATCAAACACCGTTTCAACGCAGAGAAGAAGTTGACATTTTATTGACGATATCATATTCTTTGGCGGGGTAGAAGGAATCAGCCCTTAATTTCTGAATGATTCCTAGAGATTTTTGTTTTATTTGTTCCTTAAATATTTTAAAATTTTCAAACTTAATTAGGTATAGTACTTTTTTTGTTATAAGTGTCTAAAAATTTATTTAAATAAATGAAACATACCTTTCTTAAAGGGCCATTTTAACAAGAATGTATTTGTCATATGACATGTTGAATTTACCGTGTCATATGTGTATAGTTGTTGAATAATCTGAAAAAAGAACCATGTGAGTATTTGTATTAACAATTATTTAAAATTTGTTAGTAGGGAAATTGAATAAAGTCAAAGCATTTTTGTGTTTATATAACAAAAACTTAAAGAGTGTATAATTAATGTTACAAAGAGCATCCGTCCTGAATTATTTTTGACATAACACTATAAGACGACAAGGTTACCAATCAAAAACTATATAGTGATAACTTTTGATTTTCCAATACCTAGTGCGCCTAACCACAATAAATATGAAATAACGTTCACTTAATGATTTATTTATGGAGTTTTTATCTCAAAACTTATGCTTAATAAATTCAAAAATCATTTTCTAAATAAAATCCTTACTTCAAAACTCTAATGATAAAACTACAAAATTGCAATTACTTCGTAACACTACGAATTTGCAAATAGACTTTTCTAACAGCCTAAACAGCGTTTTCTACATACATAAAATTATTTTTCAATTCGATTAAATTCCATTTCAAAGCACCTGCCGACTTAATACTAATATTGTATCCTCTCGCGTATACAATTCAAATCAATAAAATCATTTTGTAGAAACTACTTTCACAATATAAAAATGTAGTATAAACTCAACTCAAGCTCAAATAAAGTAAATTAGGATTTAAAATTCATTCCGGAACATCTTCAATTATAGAATATTTAGCATTAAGCATATGCTTGATGTATAAAAAAATCAAATCTATTTTATAAACCGAACCGAAATCAATTTGATTAATTGCATACCATACAAAGCACACAATAAATTGACCATTACTCCGTTATTAGCGTTACCATTATGCAATTTACATGAATAGAGGGAGTTTCCATATATATTTTAGGAATTCTGAACCATTACATAATTAATGTCATAATGTTTTGATTAAAAAATGTTCATTGGTTCGTATCATGCATTTTATATGAAAATAATAAAGGAACTTTTTTAAAAATTAAAAAAAAAACATTTTTATTAATATTAAAATATTAAATTCAATATATTATAAATATTTATTTGCTTCATGTACTCATAAGTAATTATTAAAAAAAATATGAATAAATTTTGATAAATCAAAAAAAAAATATGAAAATTTTTGCAATCCACTAAATTAAAAAAAAATTTTTTTGTTACTTTTATATTATTATAAATTTATTATATTATATATTTTATTATAATAATGGGTTATTTTTTTGTATTTTTAATTATAGTAGCTGAAAAATAAGAAAAAGCCAACATAAAAACATGAAGCCCAAACCATTTTATGTCTGGATTTCAATATAATTAGATGCACATCAACTGACAACGCTTAATTTGATGATTGGTTAAAGATGAAAAGGAAAATGTATAAACAAACTGATGCACTGATGCATAATATAAATATATAAATTTGTATATAGCATTTGTGATTTGCCTATAAATATATATTATGTACCAATATACAATATATTAAAAATCAACTGTACCAGACAATTTGTTTGTTTTTTTTTTGAAAAATAAAAAGTATATTAATATTTTTTTATTTAAATTATATTTTTAATACAATAAGAACGCTAAGATAATCACACAAATATATAATAATATTTTTATTAAATTTTTAAATAAATAAAATCATTTTGTTTTTTTCTCTTTTTATTTACAATTTACGTACATACATACATATATAATACTATCCAGATATAAATGATATCCTATGTATCCATGATTTTTCCCTTAACGTTATAATTTAATATTTAAAGAGAAAAAAAAGGAAGAACAAAAATAAAACAGAAATTGCAGAAGCACAAATTAATCTTTCAAATTAACTATATATAAAATTAATTAACTGTATATTAATATTTTATATACTTTTGCTTCCGTTCCTCTTTCCAATCTCCTTTTAATTATACTATACATTGCACCATATGCATTTATACATAATATATACTCGCACATATTATATAGGTATTTTGTATATTTAATATATACTATATTTTCCTAATATCATATACGTATGTCAATTGTGTAGAATTATTCCACTATACTATGTATATCAAATTAATGTATCAATTCTCAAGTATTGTAGGTGTAGCATTGCGAATATATATGCACGTTAGGTTTTTCTCCCGAGAGAAGTACTATTCTAAAATGCGAAGGATTCTACAAGTTATAAAAATTTGTATTTATTTGAAATTAAAAAAAAATTAAACTTATTAAAAGTACAATAAGTAAACAAGTAAGAACAAGTAAGTAAACACTGGGAATGACCTGCTTACTTATAAAAATTTTACGCTGTTTGCGAAAGAAATCTGATATTTTATAAACAAATACATCTTTATTAGAAAATTATTTCTATAGAATTTTTACCTGGCTCCCTTCTACAAATTTGTAGCACTTTGAAATACTGAAAACTTCATTTCAACTGCCACTGCTATTTACTTTGTATAAAAATCACAACCCCTTTTAAATGTTGCAAACACAGAAATGAGCAACTGGTTTCTTCTACAACGACACAGCATATATTCAAATATTACAATAACAATATGTTTTCTATTAGCTCGCCAATTGTAGAAGTTTGAAATTTTGGCAGAATTTAAGTACCAATAAATTGTTTATCTTGTTAGAAGAAAATTTTTTCCACCCCACCCCTTCCCAATTTGTTATCGCTCTTTTACTTATTAAAATTTAAATTTTCGACACATTTTGTTTTCTAAAGTTCACGTTTTCCCAAACTTCTATAGAAGAAACGTGTTTATTTTTCATGAATTTACAAGTTACCCGTCGAATTAGACCATTGCATTAATTTTTTTTTTGCTAGTTTTAGTTTTCATCCTGAATGTATGCAATATTTTTACTTTTGTATAATCAATTGCAATTCATCAAAAAACTACTTATTATCCTATGATTTACTTCTATATAACTAATTTAAATTGGTACAATATAACATTTTCATATATTCAAGGAAAAGTGCTTCTTATGTTAGTACAAAACATGTTTTAAATTGAATTTATTTAATACTTACATTAAATTATTATACTAAAGTGGCAGAATCTGCATTTTCTTCTTTAAAAAAAATATGATAAAATTTTTTTCATTATAAATGTTAGGAATATTTCAACTGAATTCGACTAAACGGAAAAGCACATAAATAAAAAAATTCAGAATTTTCAGGAGACAGAAAAAATTATTCATTCTTCTCTTTTGCTTATCTATTTAATCGTGAGATGTTAGAGAATATTAGGAGCAACTGATTATTTGTTTGAGCAGATATAAGTGAATCATTAAATTTGATATTAAATCTAAATAATTTGATTTTTAATTGCTATGAGTTTCGTATAATAAAAAACTATTAATAATATTTTCCCCTTTTATTTTAAAATTAACATAGACAATAAATATTTTTTAATATTTAACACCCTATATAATTATACATTTATGTTATGTAAATAAATGTTGTATGCATAGTTGTACATTGTATGTGCATTTAATGTAGTTAAATTATGAATATAATTATAAATACCTTCAAACGATTTTTCATCATTGTTTTAATTGTTATTTTTTTAAACCTGGGATAAAAATCAAAATGCGCACTTTATACATGTATATAAGCATGCATTTATAAATACCCGTTGTATCTATATATAGACAGACAACAACATTTTCAATAAAAATCCTTTTTTTTTTTAGTTTTAATAATATTTTTCTGCTCTTCTTATTTTTGTTTTTCATGCATGTTTTACTTACTTTTTTTTTCATTATTTTTTTTTGATAACATATTTTGTTTATTCAATATATGAGTGCTTTATTGATTTGAATTTTATTATATTTACATATAAAAAAAATAAAAGAATAAAAACAACAACAAATGATAATAATAAATTAAATTGAAAATTCCTAAATCAGAAAGAGATCAATCATTCAAAAGTAAAATAAATTTTCAATATAACAAAATTGCATCCTTTTCAATATCCTTTTTATATAGCCTTAAATATTATTTTGCTTATATATTTTCATATATTCAGTTAAAAAGTGCATTATGCGTGTTTATTGATCTGTTAATTTTCATTTTATATACTTATCTGTACATACACATTAACATTATGGTATATTTAAATGTATTAAGGATCACATACGAATATATATAGTTAATATTTTACATAATTCAGGTAAATATTCCGTATAAACATTTTCATATATTCCAAAATAATGTCCATGTAGAAAATTTTTACATAAAATAAACAGTAATACTCGATTATTTTGGAAACTTGCATGAATTCTTACGACGTTCTATTCAACTGCAATAAAGTTTTGGTATTATATTTAACATAAAAATATTTTCATAAATCTTATATTATGCAGTTATAACTTTCGATTATATTGCATAACAAATAAATGGTAGTATATTTCTTTTAGAAAGGGCCTTTCCCAGTAATGTCAAATGCATGCAACTGACGTTAGTCATGAATCCCAAGGCAACATGACGCTAGCGTCATAAATCCCAACATATGTTGCTAACACAATTGATTGTCATTTTAGTTTTTTTTCGCATGTTTTTAAAGGCTAATGCATAAGTGATTTGTTTGAAAATTGCTCAAATTGCAGGTGATTGTCATTTGCTAAATCAAGCGATTGACGTGATTGACATGATCATCAAATCTTTGACATACTGGGAAAGGGCCAAACTTCTGCTAAAATTATTTTTGCTTTTTCACACCCATTTATGTTATTGAACTTATTTATTAATATCATTTCTCTACAGATTTCCAAAGAAAGTCAACTTAACATGCGTTAAGTACCAAAAACACTTATTGCTAATTCGTTGCTATGAGATTTTTCAAACTGTTGCATTTAATTGTTGTATAAATTACATTTTTGCTTCTGTAATAATGAAAATTTTCCGCATATTTTTCATATTTTCACTTAATTCATATACTAAATTATATTTTTAAAATATTTTATAAAACAGTTTCTTTTTCTTCAATTTGCGAACTCTTTGCAATGAAAACGAGTCAACTTAATCCAA